TACTTTGCTCACATACCAAAATTACACCTTCCGACGAATTCCTTTAACTCCTTACTTCCTATAGCAAAACAATTCTTTCTTTTCTTTCATTTAATTCGCAGAGAAAGGGGTCGCTGTTAGCAAAAGTGCGTTTCTATTCGGCTTCAAGAACAACGATCCCGAAGGTATCGAAATATTTCCTCTTAGAAACGACAAAAGACACGAAGCACAACGCGTGAAGCCACATGAAGGACCAACATTTGGTGATGGTGATCTTTCTTTGAAAACGATGTCATTTGGCTCTAGTCAAACTGGAAATTCATTTGAAAACTGGCGTGGCTCGTCTCTGTTTGCAGACGCAGATGAATTCAAAATTTCTGACATTGAAGTATTATATCCTAAAGGTAACTTTAGAAAAATAATAATTACTCACATGCGTTTTAAAGATTCAATGACATAAATTATTTTCAATATTTCCTTACTAGAGACTGCTCGAGCTCTACTTCCAAATTTAACCAGGAACCAAGTACTGAAATACTTCGTTCTAACGAAGGGCTAATGCTCTATACCTCAGCTTTTGAAACTCTTTATGGAGGTCAATTTACATTTATGAACTCGGTTAATAAAACCAGATTATCTTGCTACATACGGGGAATGAGATAAACTTTATTAGTGGCTACTAAGATGAATCTGTATTGCAAAAATGCTCTCAGTTGGTATCCTTTAAGGCGGTTAACTGATATTTTTCGAAAGTAACTGCTAAATAGAGATTTGACTGCATATTATCTGAAAACCAGACAGTTTGTGCAAAGAGCCATGCAACCATTACGAGGGACACTGTGATGAAATTACTACCAAGTGTGTTTGTGATTGGACAGAGCGCAATGTGGAATGGTGTTTGGAAGGTGAGTAATTATTTTGTAGAATACGACATAACATTTCATCGCTGCTGATTTTTTCACTTGAGTCTTCCATGACATTCATTGAATTTTATTAATAGTCAAACCTATAATACAACTTTCGAAATGATTGGTTAAAAGCTGCGGCCATTTGTGCGCGCCGTTATATAGACTATCGAGCTCTGATTTCCGCGTTGCGTGCTTGGTTTCCAAGCCTTTGAACGGGACTGAGGCTCATGGTGACCTTGTTATGATACAAACGTTGGTGCTTTTCAAATGTAAATCACTTTGTTATCATGCTAACTAGATCCTTGTCTCAATCACAACACGGTCACCTTCAGCCTCACTCCACATCAAAGGCTTAGCAACTAAGTACACAACTGTAAAATGGCCTACTGAGAAATAGCTTGTCTTTGAACAGGTGATCCAAAAAAGATAATCAATCTTTACGACGATGCCGCGTCCTACTGGCCTCTGGACTCAGTCGAAGATCTAAAGGACCGAGCAAGACTGGGTTGGGGACAGGCGCACGGTGCGGTGAGTCTGGTTGCTAAGGGCCTTAGTGGCCAGGCCATACAGTTAGACGGTGCGAGTGGGTGGGTCGACCTCGGAGATCTGGGCACTCTTTATCAGGTGCAGATGTGTACGGAGGATTTTAGTATTTCTATGTGGATGAAGTATTATTCCAAGGGGAATGGCGAAGATCAGACCTTTTTACACTTCGGTGAGTTAAAGATGGTACTAGTTCTTAAAAGTTTCTAGCACTTTTGTTTTTTGTTGTTTCGCAAGAATCAATACTAAAGTACACTGTATCTAAAATTGTATTGGTTAAAAATAGTATCAGGTCCTTAGTAGACACGATGTTGTTTTGCAAAGGATAACAATAATTGTCGCACGTGCACATTTATTTGCACACTGATTGTTCTTCTTATCAATTTTTCTTCCAGGAATTATATTTTATTTACCGTCGCTGCTGTTTTGTGCAGGTCCCTCAGGATCACGTTCACCTAACGATGTATCTCATTATTTTCCCTCTAGATAACGGGCTTACAGTGGCAGAATTATTTTACGAAGCAACTTCAAAGCTAGTCGGAGTCTCTCTTTCCACAAGCTCTTTGAAGTTTTGTTACAGATTTCCAGTTGCAAAGGGATTTTGGACACATCTTGGTTTCTCTTGGAAGAATGACAGCAAATCTCTTATCATCCAAAAGTAAGTCTTTTCCTTGTGCAGATTTAAGAATAGACTGAGTAATGTAATTTAGATGGGATTGTCCCAGAATGCTACATGCCTAGGGATATCAGAACTATCAGGGGCGTAGCCAGGATTTTTCAAAGGGGGGTCACAGAGGCTACTCACCATTTACACCGCTGCTCTCCCGCGTGTATCAGCTGGCTCAGTCATATTATCGCGGCATGAAGGCCCATATCAATGGCTTTTACGGCCAAGATATTGTCATGGCATTTTCGCCACCTGAATATTGTAGGTTGTTTGCTCTAAAGAAAACCTACCAAGGGGGGATCACGGGCACCCCAGGACACCCCTGGCTACGCCCTTGACTATAACAAGTCTCAGCATCTTTAAATGTAAACTCTTTGAATTTTTATTACAAGAGGATCACGATCAACATAAATGCTCTGTGGCTTAACTGACTAGTTGAATTTCTTTTTTTTTATTAATTAATACGATGTTCATAGAAAATATGTTGTATATACCTTAAGAACTATGTTATAATTTATTTATTCTTATAATTTCTTATTTTTACTATTTTGTATCATGATATTTTTAGTCCTTTTTTATGTATTGATTATAATTTTATCACATACAGATTTTATACTATATATATGCACATGGGTTAATA